CAAGTCCTTAGAAAAATTCAGGAAATAAATAATTTTTAATAGTATTTTTAGATATTTTATTTTCAGATTTTATTCTTTGTTAGGGGAAGTATATTTCAGGGTTTTTACCCTGCCATTCCTGTTGATGTCACTTTAGAATAATTAGTTTTAACACAAAAATATGGGAGGTTTCAGGAGGAGCTATAATTTGAGCTTCATCATGAATGAAATTTGCTAGGTGTAAAGTTTGGGAAGAACATTTCAGGTTTTCATCTTTCTTCTCTACTTCCTGCATTTTGGCCCTGGAAGGCAGCTTCCTCTATCTTTTCAAGCTCCCTCTGGAGAGAGAGAGACAGGGATTTCACCATGCCTATTCTATTAAATAAGTCCACTTATTTTCCTGAAATGCACAGGGTGGGGCAAAAGTACAATAGGTTTACAGTTGTGAGTATGCAAAACAGTTTATTTTTGTATTATTATTTATTATTATTTTTTGCATACAAATGACCATAAACCTCCTTTTGCCCCATCCTGTAGACAGTAACATCTAATTTCCAAGGTTATTCCTGTCAACCTAAAATTAAAACACTGAAATGAAAAGCAACAAGCATTTATTTGGGATCAAAGAATTGCAATTTGGGCAGCCCAGATTCAGGCAGAAATCCAAATAGTTGTCCCTATTACACATTGAACTCAAGGGGCTTTAATAATAAAAGGAAAGGAATAATTACATGGAAGGAAGAAGAATCCCTGTCAGTGTTAATAAGCTGAGCTACTCTTCGCTGTGCAATATTGGTTACTGATTGTGTCTTCAGGTAGAGAGGCCAAAACCGTGAGTTCTGGTGGTCAGGATGTCTGCTGTCCTTCTGGCTTTACAAACAATTGTTTGTAAGACAATGTAGGTTTGGCACAGTCCAAAGATCTGGTCCAGTCTAAACAGTGCAAGGGTTCAAGGAGCAAGACGTGCAAGGCAGTTTCTCTGAAATGTCTGCTTTTGTTCTATTTTAAAATCGTTCCACTTATAACAACTTTCACATTCCTCAGAACAAAGAAGTCTCTCTCTGGCCTTTGGGCCCCTGGCCTCTAGGTCTCTGGCCACCCAGGTGCTGGTCACCCAACCTCTGAGCACCCTGGGCTCTTGCCACCCTCGCTTTTGCTCTCTTCTTAGAACTTAGCACTAGTAAACTTTGCCTGCATGCCAATAGGCTTGCTGAATCTGTAATCCTTTACTGCGTCAGCAAGAAGAACCAGGTTTCTTCCATGCGCACTATTAAGATGTCCCCATTCCCCCACCTTTGCCCCCATCTACCCAGCCTTCACCACACTGTTGCCTGTGTCCATGGGCTATGCATATATATTTATATGATCTTTGGCTAATCTCTTCCAGCCCCCGCCCCAAACCCCCCTCCTCTGAGATCTGTCAGTTCGTTCCATGTTTCCATGCCTCTGGTCCTGTTTCGTTCATCAGTTTATTCTGTTCTTTAGATTCCATATAGGAATGAGATCGTATGGTATCTGGGAATGTATCCTAAGAATCCTGAAAGACCAATCAGAAAGAATAAATGCACTCCTAAGTTCATAGCAGCATTATTAAAAATAGCCAAGATCTGAAACCAGCCCAAATGCGCAAGTGTAGATGGAGTGGATAAAAAAGATGTGGTACATCTATACAGTGGAATACTACATGTCTGTAAAAAAAGAAGGAACTCATACCCTTTGCGACAGCATGGATGAACCTAGAGAGTATTATGCTAAGTGAAATAAACCAGTCAGTGAGGGTATCTTAACCCTTGGAAAGGGCAATTTTTTGTTGGGCACTATGTCTGTGCATCTCAAGCCATTCAGCAGCACTGGCCACTGAGCTTTAAATGCTGGTAGCAGCTCCAATCATTGGACTAAACATAAATGCTGTTACGCCTTTCTAAAGTCCATTGGAAATTTAAAACACCTGGCAAAGTTCACCAACACTGTTTTACATTATTTTGGAAGAGGGCTAAGAGTTTGTTCTAGTACTTAAATACAAAATAACTTGATTTTTTTTTTTTGTAGAAGCATTTTTTGTAGAAGTGAATAATTAGGGCAAGACTAGAGTGAGGCAAATGAAGTGTATGTGTAAATTTTGCTTCAGGTGCTCTGTCTGAGAGCTGCCAAAAACTCAGTAATTAAGGCAAATATAAATTAAAGATTAATTTTTAGTTAAGATTACCTCAGTGCACCCTTTACCAAATTAGAATTAATACAAAAATACATGATCAACAAAATAATAAAATTTAAATGGAAACAGAAACTACCCTGCACTTGAACAACTCCACCTGCCTCACCACACTCCAGCCCTAACCCTGCCCAATTCTCTATTTGTCTTCCTCTGGATGTTCTGTGTCCTTTTCCTCTGGCATCTTGATGGGTTTTTTTCTTTGACTTTGGTTTTCTTTTTATCTTTAGTTATGCCATGCCTAGTTGCATTGCTTTTGCTAAATTTATCTTTCTTTCAGTTGGCTTAACTTCTTGATTCTGTAAGTTGATGCTTTTAACCACATTTGAGAAATGTTGAGTTTTTATTTCTTTACATGAATTGTCTGCCCCACGCATTCTTTTATGTAATGAACATACTTAGGATAACTGCCTCCACATCTTTTTTCATCAGTTTCAGTATCTCTGGTTTCTTGCAACTTGTTTCCTGTGACTCCTCCTTTCTTGGCATGATACATTTTTGTGTACTTCATGTGTTTAGTAATTTTTCAATGTTTGCTGGAAATTTTGGATGATGCATTTAGTAAAAGTATATTTTAGTTTTAATGTGTTGACTTTTATTCTGGAAGTCAGTTAAATTAATGGCAGATCCTTTTCAGTCTTTTCAGATTTTGTTTTATTCTTTGTTCAGGTAGATCTACTTCAGGTGGTTCTTACTTTATTGGGCTTGGCCCTTACCCTAGAGCATGGTTATACTCCTAGGGAATAGATTTCCTGGAGTGGGACCTGAATATGCAAAGTGCTCCCTGTGCTCTCTCTGCTTTGACTCTAACAGCAGTCAGTTGTGCCCATCACTGTGTGGTCTCTGGCATCTCCATTAAGCTCCTATTTCTGGAGCAGCCGCACTAATAGACCTGTGTTAGGTCACCCTGAGCATGCTCACCTCAGTCCTTTGCCAAGGATTCATGTTTAAACCCATGTGCATTTCTGAGTTTTGTACAGCTTTTTCTTCTCAGGAACCTTGCCACACAAATTCCAGGTGCTTGAGTAGCCCCAAATTCTAATCTCTACCTTCTCGCTTCAGAGACCAGCACTCCAATCTAAAGCTGTCATCTGTAAAATGTACCTCTGAGCAGCAGTACAGGCAAATTTAGAGCACATTTCATGCATTTTTCTTCTTTTAAGAATCACAGTTCTGCTTGCGTATTGTTGAATGCCTACAAATGGTTCCCTCATATATTTTTTTATTTATTTTTTTGCTACAAAAAGGAAGTTTGGCCCCATTTACTCTGTCATAAATAAATGAAAGTAGAAACTAGATAATTGATTTTACTCATTTTAAAAATATATGCATTTAAGTCTATGCGCTTCTATTTAAGCACCACATTAGCTAAGCCCCACTAACCCAATATGTCCTATCATTTGTTAACAGGCTCTAATTTCAATTGTAATTTATTTTTTGGCAAATTAATTATATGGAGGTTTATTACTTATTTGGAGGTTACTCCTTATTGGATATGTCATTTGCAAATGTCTTCTCTCATTCAATAGGTTGTCTTCTCATTTGATTGATGGTTTCTTTCACTGACTAGCCATTCTTAGCTCCACACCTTGAAAGGCAGAACTCCCTTAGAAGATTAAACTGAGAATCACATCATTGCCTTGAAATTTACTTTAGAATCTGTAGGTCACTACCATGCTTCACTCCTAATTGGTCACCCTAAGACACAGAAGGTCCCCACCAAGTTTGAGTTTGCCACCTGGGGCCTCTTCCAGTCCTTTCTGGGCCATTTTCCTGGCATTTATAGAAAAACATCTTATTTCATTTTGTGACCATGTCCACTGAATTTAAGAAAAGAAAAAGTGATATACCATCACTTTATAAACATAACTGAAAATCAAAATTTGGGCAATTGATAAGAAACTAGAAACAAAAATAAAATTCAATTTTTAATTAATGTCACTCATAAAAATAAATTCCAAGTGTATTAAAAATTAAACACAAAGATAAAATCATGAAACTGCCAGCATGAATATTTTTGTTATCTATATAAAATTTGTAAACTATAAAAAAATAAAACTGTGGCTGCATAAACATTTAAGACGTTTGTAGGACAGGGGATAGCATATGAGAAATTTAAAAAGACATTTGGAAAAGAATAGTTGTGCAGGTATGTTTTTAATACACCTTTTGCATAATTCTAAAATGAACAAGAAAACTAGACAGAGAAGGAAACCAAGCCCAAGATGAAACAGACAGAAGAATGGGTGCTACATCAAGATTCATTACAAAGCAGCTATTCAGAGAGGAAAGGATGCTCACATTGCATGTGCAGGGTGAAGCGGGTCTTGCATCCGATGACTAGAGAAGACAATGCTCATCGTGGGAAACATGTTCCTCTACTGAGTATATTTCCCAGAGCTCCTTTCATATCCCGATTCCTCAGACTGTAGATAAAGGGATTTAGCATGGGAGTAACTAGAGTGTACAACACAGCCACAATGACATCCTTGTTGTTGGAGTTGTTGGATGAAGGAAAAAAGTACAGCCCAATAATTGTCCCATAGTACAGAGACACGACAGAGAGGTGGGAGCCGCATGTGGACAAGGCTTTGCAGATACCCTGGGTGGAGGGAACTTTCAGGATGGTAGCCCCAATGCGGCCATAAGAAACCAGGATGCATATGAATGGCAAGGTGATGACCACCACCCCCACAGTGAGGATAAACAGCTCATTGACTGTGGTATCTGAGCTGGACAGCTTAAGTAAGGTGGAGAGATCACAGAAGAAGTGCCGGACAGTGTTGTCCCCACAGAAAGAGAGACGGGCCAGGAGAAGGGTATGCAAAAGGGCAGTAGTACAGGATTGGACCCAGGATACAATAACTAGCAGAACACACAGGCTGTGACTCATGATGGTGGTATAGTGGAGGGGATGACAGATGGCCACATACCTGTCATACGCCATTGAGGTAAGAAGGAGGCTGTCGAGATCACCCCAAAATAAAAAGAAATACACCTGGGAAATGCATCCGGTGTATGAGATGGATTGATCCTGAGTCTGCATATTCATGAGCATCTTTGGAGCTGTGACTGATGAAAAAGAGATGTCAGTGAGGGCCAAGTGGCTGAGGAAGAAGTACATGGGCGTGTGCAGGCGGGAGTCCAGCCTGATGAGCAGGAGGATGAGCAGGTTGCCCAGCACCGTGGTCAGATACATGCCCAGGAACAGGGCGAAGAACGCGCCCTGCTGCCCTGGCGGGATGGGGAGCCCCAGGAGGAGGAACTCGGATATGCAGCTCTGGTTCTCCCTCCTCATGGTCTTCCTCTGTTTTATTATAGACCAAAAAACGAGATGGAAATATGAAAGAATGTGAAATCATTATGACAACCATATAATAGAAACATTACAGTTAGTACGTGACTTTAACCTGAGTAGCTCATGCTTTTTGCCCACTAATGAGCTAGTGATGGTCTGACATCAGGATACTATATGTCCATCTAGAAACCAACGCAGTTTCTTTAGGAAAAATCATTAAACATCAAAATGATGATCATATCAGACCAAGTTCAAGTCTGAGGAGTCCAAGAGTCCATGACGGAAATCCAAGACTAGGAAGGCTAGGTCAGTAACCAGTCATTAGAAACACTAGTAGAGGTTCTCCAATTGGTCTGTTGTCCTTATTAAATTTATGCATGCCTCCCACATATACTTTGGCTTATTTCTAATATTTTTCTATTTAATTAGAAATATTTAATTAATAACATTATTCATATACCATGCTTTATTTCCATGGATTGGGTCAAGCAAGATAAGAACCCAGTGAACTGCTCTGGACCTCCAGAAATCAGGAGTTGGAAACCTGGTGGAAGCATCATATGTAACTGCTCAAGACAAGGGCATTTAGAAAAGAATCTATGTCAATAACATAGATCTAGTAATTTGTTCCATATCCATCAGTCTTCCCTTTAAGAAAATGCCTTCCCACTCCTCAACATGTTCAGTGTAGCAACACTCATTCTAAAGGAATTGTTATGGAGCATGGAGAAGTCTGTTTCTCTTCTAAATTCCCACCTCATTCCTCCAGCTCTTACCAGATCGCTCTTACTCAGGTTCTCAGAATACCAAGAAATGCTTTGGTTTTTCCAGTCATATCTTGGATCTGCCAAAGAATAAGCTTTGTAAGCGTTCAGAATAGTTTATCAAATAACACTTCCTTTTTTACACTTCCTAAACTAAGTTGTATGCCAGTGATTTATAACTGATATTTTTCTTGTCATATTTTAATACTTCTTACACTTTGCCAGTACTATTAGTTCTCTCTCTCTTTCTCAGGTCAACTAATCTTAGACTTGCCCATGTGAACATATAAAATAATAGAGAAAGAGAACAGGATGATCTATCTGTTAAAAAATAGAATCCACATACTATATAAACATTTATCCAATCTAAAGGTTCTTCTCTTTGCCCTGGCTGGCGTGACTCAGTGGATTGAGTGCCAACCTGTGAACCAAAAGATCACAGGTTCGATTCCTAGACAGGGCACATGCCTGGGTTGCTGGCCAGGTCCCTGATTGGGGGCATGCGAGAGATAGCCAATTAATGTTTCTCTTGGACATCAATGTTTCTCTCCCTCTCTCTCTCCTTTCCCCTCTCTCTCCCTTCCCCTCTCTCTAAAGATAAATAAAATCTTTAAAGGTTTTTCTCTTTGAGAGCTGAGAAAGTGTCTCACTACATGGAGCTTGCTGCTCTTATCTGGTGTGAAGTATGTGGAGCAAGCCTAGAGTTCAGTAACTTACATTGGACACACACAAACACATACAATCACATTACTGAATATGGATTCCACTTCTGACCTTTCATTGCCTCTTAGGTGATGAGGTCTTATGCCTTCAGCTACAAGGCATGGGAAGGTTCTTCCTTTTCTCTCTAGAAGACACAGAATATAACGAAGCAGGTAGAGTCTCTTAGGGTCTCAGAGATGCATCACAACAGGGAGAATGACCAGATCAAAACCAGATAAGATAGATATATAGACACACTTGTTTACAACTCAGAGAAATGGGTGTGGGTTCTAACTTTACAAATCATGGGGAAAAAATCCAGGCAGGGGTGGGAGAACAAACTTCACACTCCCACTGCCAAATTAGAGACAAACGAAATAATTGCTTCTTGGCTTTTGGTTCCCTTGACGGAAGAACTGTTTGTTGACAGGCAACAGGAGAGTTGTCCTTGGTGGGATAATGATAATAACCACAAAGCAGCTCCTAGGAACCTGGTGACTCCAAAAAGCCTTTTGCCTTGTTAGTTGACAATAGAGAAAATGTAATTTTGAGTTTATAGCAAACCAAATTGGAGGTTGAGTGTGTTAATGAAAATCTCTTGTTTCTGAACCCTATGCTATTTCAAGAACAGCGAAAACATGCTAATACTTACACTCACCGAACAAAAGACTGAGGGCCATTATATCCCATCATCACAATGGGAGCCTGGGAAATGGACTGCAGTTTCTATAAATCCTGGTCTGCTCAAAGGCTCTGGAGTCAGCATTTTCTGGTTCGGTTTTCTCTCAATGCCTTAGAATTACCAGTCAAGAGCTGTTTTCCACTAAATCACTTACAAAATTGATTCCAAATTTATTTCATACATCTCCAGCTCTGTTTCTTCAAAGCCAGCTAGAAGATTAATATCATGTGCTTCTTATTTGAGGTGAAGGTGTGTGAATATTTGTGTTATTAATTTGTCCTGCTTTGTCTTAAAAATCGATCAGTTATAATGCTACAGTTGACCTGCATGTTTTTTCCTGAGTTGGCAAGACTGCCTTCTCAAACCAGAAGAACAACAGTATGAGGAAAAGTACCTCTTTGAATTATCAAATGACATTACTACTTGCCCAGGAACCAGATACTATTTCCTAGAAGAACTTCATCTTTATCTTCTGCTATTCTAAGCCCTTCCATCTTCCTGACCCCTATTCAAAATATGTCCCCTGTAATAGTTTGTAATTTAATAAAATATATATGCTTACACAACAAAATTGGAAAATGGGAACAATGAGATCAATACGTATTTGAGAGAAAATAAACTCAAGTGGGCTAATATATTAAAAGTTTGTCAACCTCAGTGATAATCAGGGGAAAACAAATTAAAATTTCAACATGTTTCCATTTTTATATTACCATATTTTACCATGTATAAGGTGAACTTTTTTGCCCAAATTTTTAATGGAAAAATAAGGATGTGCATTAACATGGGCAATACCAGACATACCTTGTATCTGTTCTTGTGTCTTGTAATTATTTGTTACATAAAATTTCTTGTATGATAATATGTTCCAGAATAAATGCTAAAATTCCTTTATAATACAAACAAGTATCTAAATATAAATTAAAAAATTGAAATAAAAAATTAAAACAAAAGATTTTTTTCCTGAAAATTTTGACCAAAAATGTGGGTGCACATTATACACAGGAGCACATTATACACAACAAAAAATGGTAATAGAATGGAAAAATTAATAATAGAAGCTGCTCTTTGTTGACAATTGAGTGTACTTTTTAAGAAGTTTTATTTTTTCTAATAGGGAAATAATATGGCATTATGTTTTACAATTGAAAAATCTTCATTGTCTTGGACTGTGCAGTTCCCCTCAAGTTTATATATCCTAAAAAGTTTTGCACATGTACAGTTGGGGGCATAAATATGACAGTTCATGGCAATATTGTTCATAGTAGCATAGCAATATAAAAAAAGTTCATTCACAAGTAAATCGAGGTATTTTACATAAGGACTATTGCACAGTGATCAAATGGCACATCAGTGAATTACAGAAATTAAATAAAGTAAGACTCTAATAACACAAAAAATGCAGAAACAAAGATTTTCTATGTATACATATTGTTATGGAATTATGTTGTATTCCTCCAAAATTTATCTATTGAAGCCCTAATCCCTAATGTGGCTATATATGAAGATGGGGCTTCTAAGAACATAAGTAAGGTTAAATGAGATCATAAAGATGGAGCCCCAAACCAATAGGATCACTGTCCTTATAGGAAGACATACCAAAGATCTCAGACTCTCTTTCCACATGCACACACTGAAAAAAAGGCCATGTGAAGACAGAGCAAGAAGGTGGTTTCATTGATTTTTTTTCCTATTAATTTTCTGTTTTCAGTTTTACTTATTTCTGCTCCAATTTTTGTATTTCTTTTCATCTCTTGCTTTAAGTTTATATTGTCTTTCTCTAGTTGCCTAGGGTGGAAGCTTTTAGGGCTTTCTTATTTTCTAATATATACATTTTAATGCTATAAATTTCCCTCAAAGCATTGCTTTTGCTCAATGCCACAATTTTTCATAAGTTGTCTTTTCATTTTAATTTCATCTAAAATGTTTTAAATATGTCTTGTGACTTCTTGTTTGACCTATGTGGTATTTAGATGTGTGTTGTTTAATCTCCAAACCTTTTGAGATTTTCCAACTATGCCATTGATCTCTAGTTTAAATTCTTTGTGGTCTGAGAGTATACTTTGTATGACTTCTAGTATTTTGAATTTATTAAGGTGTTTTATAACTTAGAATGTGGGGTATATTGGTGAATATTCCACGTGAGCTTGAGAAAAATGTGTATTCTACTATTGCTGGATGAAGTGTTTTAAAAATGTCAGTTAGATCCAGTTGATTGATCATGCTGTTCAGTTCAACTACACGCTTAACTGATTTTCTGTCTGCTGGGTCTGTCACTTACTAATAGAGGGGTGTTGAAATTGCCCACTGTATAATAGTGTATTTGTCTATTTCTCCTTGCCATTCTATCAGATTTTGACACTCTGTTGTAGGTACCTATGCATTAGTGATTGTTATGTCTTCTTGATGAATCAACCTCTCTATCATTTTGTAATTTTAGTCCTCTTTATCCCTGATAAGTTTTTCTGTTCTGAAATCAGCTTTGCCTGACATTAAAATGGCTACTACAACTTTTTTTTGATTAGTGTTGGCATGGTATATTTTTCTTCATCCCTTATTATTGTATTGTGGTAAAATATGCATAACATGAAATTTATCATTTGAATGATTTTTAAGTGTACAGTTTGGTGATTTTAAGTACTCACATTGTTGTGCGACCATCACCACCATCCATCTTCACCACTTTGTCATCACCCTATACTGAAACTTTGTACCCATTAAACAATAACTACTCATTCCCCACTCCCTCAGGTCCCGGTAACCATTCTAATTTCTTTCTCTATGCACTTGACTCTTGTAGGCATTTCATATAAGTGGCAACATACAATATTTTCCCTTTTGGGTCTGGCTTTTTTTACTTAGCATTGCATCTGCAAGGTTCATCCATGTTTTAGCATGTATCACAATTATATTCCTTTATAAGGCTAAATAATGTATTCCATTTTTATATACATATACAACATTTTGTTCATTCATTCATCTGTCAATGGATACATGGGTTACTTTCACCTTTAATATTTTCCATAGTACCATTTTACATTCCCAACAGCCGAGTACAGGTGTTATAACTTCATCATTGCCCTTTGTTGTTTCCTATTTTTTTTCAATAATAATAATCTTAACAAGTGTGAAGTGGCATCTCATTGTAGTGTTGATTTGTATTTCCCTAGTGATTAGTGATGTTAGAATTTTGTAAAGTGCCTTTTCTGCATTAATCAAGATGATTGTGTGGTTTTATCTTTCATTTTGTTAACGTGGTATATCACACTGGGTGATTTGCATGTGTTGAACCATCCTTGCATCCCTGGAATAAATCCCAGCTGATCATGGTATATAATCCTTTTAAGGTGTTGTGGAATTTGGTTTGCTGATAATTCATTGAGGGTGGATATGTTTATGGAATATATTGTAGTGATGATCTGACAGGTATATACTTATCTTTAAACTTAACAAGTTATACACATTAAATATGTACAGCTTTTTGTAGTTGATCATACCTCAATAAAGTGGGTAAGCCAGTGATAAAAAGAAAACCTTGAGAGCAGACTCAGGAAAAGGTATATATATTAAAGAAATATAAGACTGACAGCATATTTCTCATTGTAAAGTATTCAAGCCTAAAGACAATGAAGCAACATCTCTTAGAGTACTAAGAGATGAAGAAAGGAGAAATAAAGACTTTCAGATGTAAAAGAGCTGAGAATATTCATCACCAGAAAACATTTAATGAAAGGCTTTGATAGAAGAAAATGACATTAAATTGAAAGCTGGGTGAAGCAGATCAGAAATAGTAAACATGTGGATAAATATAAAACAAATGCTCTTAATTTTAAGTCACATTAAACTATAACCAACTGTTTAAATCTAAAAGAATAAATCTATAGTGGAGTTTATAAAAGTGTAATAGTAAAATGAATGAGGACAATAACACAAAGTTTGGGAGAGTGGAAATTGTTAAGTTGCTTGTGTTAGAAGTGGTGTAGTATTTCTTGAATTACACTCTGATGGAGTAAAAATGTTTGCTATAAGCTCCAAAACAACCACAAAACTATCCCCAGCTAATCAATCAACAGTGGAGTTAAAATGAAATAAAAGATGCCTCAATTAATCCAAAGTAAGGCAGAGATAAAGAGGAAAATGTATGAAAAGACAAATGAGACAAATAGAAAACAAATATCAAATGGTAGAATCAAACCAAATCCTCTCAATAATCACATTAAATGTGAGTTATTTAAGAAAACAAATCAAAGGGCAGAGATGCTCAAACTGGATTAAAGAGCAAGACCCAAATACTATGGCCCATAAATTAAAAGTTAAAGGATAAAATAATATATATCATGCAGCCCTGACTGGTGTAGCTGAGTGGGTTGGGTGTCATCCACTAACTGAAAGGTCATTGCTTCGATTCCTGGTCAGGGCACATGTCTGGGTTGTGGACCAGGTCCCCACTTGGAGTGTGAGAGGCAGCCAATCGATGTTTCTCTCACACATTGAAGTTTCTCTCCCTCTCTTCCTCCTTCCCTTCCCCTCTCCATAAAAATAAATAAAATCATTTTAAAAATGTACATCGTGCAAACACAAATAAAAAAGAACGTGGAGCAGCAATGTTAATATTCAACAAATTAGACTTGAGAGCACAGGCTATTGCCAGGGAAAAAAGAACATCATTTCATGATGATAAAGCAGTAAGTCTGTCAAGAGGTCAAAAATTCTAGATATATAAGCATCTAATGACAGGTTTGGGGGGAAAAAGAGAAGCACATTCTGATAGAACTTTAGGAGAAATAGACAAATCTACAAGTATAATAGGAAATATCAACACTCCTCTCAAAAATCAAAAAGACAAGTAGAGAAGAATTAGTAATAATACAAAAAAACACAGTATCAACCAACTTGTCCTAATTGACATTTATAGAATGTTCTCCCCAACAATAGCAGAATACACATTTTTTAAGTATGTGTGTAACATTTACCAAGGTGAACCATATGCTGGGCCACTAAACAAGTTTTACTTAGTTTTAAAGGGTTCAAATCATACAAAGTATGCTTTCTGACCAAAATGTAATTAATTTAGGAATTAATAAAGAACATGGGGGGAAATCCCCAAATATTTAGAAACTAAATTATCTGCTACATAAACTGTAAGCCAAGAGGAAAAAAATCCAAGGAAGCTTAGAAACGCTTTTAACTGATGGAAAATGAGAACAGAATATATAAAAAATTGTGAGATAAAGCAATAGAAGTGCTTAAAGGGATATTTATACCACTAAATGCCTGTAACAGAAAACAATAAAGGTCTCCTGTTAGTCACCTAAGATTTTATCTGAAGAAACTAGAAAAAGAAGAGCAAATTAAATTCAAAGTAAGCAAATATAGTAATATAGTAGGAAATATTAAAGAGAAAAACAGAAATCAATGAAATAGAAAACAGAAAAGCAATATATAATAACAATAGAACCAAACATTGGTTCTTTCAGAAAAATTATGAAATTGATAAACCAGACTGATCATAGAAAAAAAAGACAGAAAATACTAATATCAGAAATGAGGGGAAGGAGGACAGGATTACAAAAACATATGAGGAGATTGTTTAGGGTGATTTTTGAGGATATGTTCATTGTCTTCGTTGTGGTGATGGTTTCACATGTATATATAAAACATACTAAGGTGAACATTTTAAAGCTGTATGTAAGTTATACCCCAATAAAACTATAAATGAAAATGAAGAAATAAGAAAGAAACAGGAGTCCTCCTCCGATGGTAGTGACATTTCCATTGAGACTACCTTCTCATTATCTTAATTAACACAACTTCACACCGGGGAAAACTTCCCACACAAATATATTTATTTCACAGCAGAATTTAACATGGAAAGATTGTTTTCCTCCATCTTCAGTTTTCAGAGCAGATTCCTTTGGAAGAGTAAGCTTTTCCCACCCAGCCACCAACTAAAGGATGGGAGATCGGAATTCCACCTGCCCTATTCCATTGCTTCATCAAGGGATGATTCTTTTATTATTACTGTTGTTCAGTTACAGTTGTCCCACCTTTTTTGCCATTGCTCACCCCTACCCCATCCCCCAAACTCCCAGTCAATCCCTCCACATTGTCTGTGTCCATGAGTCCTCTATTTGTGTTCCTTTGATTGCCCTTTCCCCTTCTTTCCCCCATTATCCCCTGTCCCCTCCCCTCAAGTTTGGTCCTCATTTCCTTATCTAAAGGGTTCCCAAGGCTATGAAGTCCTTTCAACTATGTTGCAAAATTTTGGCAGAATTTTTCTCCTTGGTTACATCAATTAACTATAGCAATTCCCAGTGTAGGTGTAGATGTTTATTTTCAGGACATGCATCTTGATTCAGTTACGTGTATTGCTCTTAATCATTTAATATAAATGATCTCAGCCTCAGCTGCACCGGAGTTTTGTATTGCATTTAGATTATAGGAAAGCATTAAAAGCATTTAGTTGGTCTGCTGCTCCGTTCAGTAAGCCAACAGTCTCGATTTCCTTACCTTAAACTTTGGAGTTAAATTGAGATTCCTAGTCCTAGAAAAACATGTTTGAAAAATTGTGAGTGAAACTAAAGGAGCTGACTGTTGAAATATGGATTATCATTAATTCTTATTACAACCATTTTAAGTGTTCTAATTATCTACACCACTCAGTTTCACAAATATTGATACGAACTTATGGAAGAGGGCCACATAAACACTACAAAAATGCCATTTCCAAACCACATCACATTTGACATGTTCAATATTATTCAACACAAGCATCAGAAACTTCAAGAATGAGAGGAGACAGCTCATAAAAATGCCTAACAAATTGAAATAACAAATACATTTGAAGTAAAAAATTCTTTGACCTTAAAGAATAAACACATATCAAAGCAAGATTTTGTTTTGTTCTATTCACTAAAATAAGAAAATACTGTAATTGTTGAGGATGATAATTTCTACTCCTGACTTAAGTTTAGTGCTTCAAAGACAAATGAGATAACCGTGCTATTGTATGTGGCAGATCCCAAGGCTTAAGGACACATAAAAAGAAGAAAAATAAAACTAAAAAGAACTTGGTTCAAAAACCACCATTGGTGTGTCTGTGCCTGGAAGTTGGAATGAAGCTGCTGGGTTCATGGAGAGCACACAGGAATAACACGCAAAGCAAGTGGTCGGAACTGGAGCTGAGATGGGTGGGTGTCAACAGCAAGGACGGTCCTCTGCGTAGTTTTCCAAGGAGGAACCTCTGACATGCCATTTGGTGAACTAAGAACTGAGAAGGTGAGGCGATTTTCACTTGGAGAAAAGGATTTCCCTCCTGAAAAGACTCCCCAGATGAAAGGGTTCAGCATGGGGGTGACCACCTTGCACATCACTGAAGCAATTGTGTCTTTGTCATTGGAGTTGTTTGATGATGGGAAAAGGTACAGAACCATAATAGTCCCATAGAATAAACATACCACAGAGAGGTGGGAACCGCTGGTGGACAAGGCTTTGAACATCCCTTTGGCAGAGGAGACCCTCAGGATGGACACCCCAATGTGGACATCAGAGACCAGGATGCCAGACAGTGGTATGATGATACCCAGAGCTCCCACAGTGAGGATGACCAGCCTATTGAGGGAAGTGTAAGAGCAGGACAATTTGAGCAGAGCCACAAGATCACAAAAGAAATGAGGGATAGTGTTATCAGCGCAGAAGGACAGCCTGGCCAGGCTGAGAGTGTGGGACATTGCACTGCTACATGAAAAAAACCAGGACACAGCCAATAGTGAAATATACATTTTTTTCTGGCATGATGGTGGTGTAGTGTAGAGGGTGACAGATTGCCCTGTACCAGTCATATGCCATCATGCCAAGAAGAAGGTTATCAATACAACCAAAAAATATGCAGAAATACATCTGTGTTACACACCTCACATAGGGGATGGATTGACCCCAAGCATTCATGTTCATCAGCATCTTGGGGACAGTGACAGATGAGAAACAGACATCAGTGAGGGCCAGGTGGCTGAGGAAGAAGTACATGGGCGTGTGCAGGCGGGAGTCCAGCCTGATGAGCAGGAGGATGAGCGGGTTGCCCAGCACCGTGGTCAGGTACATGCCCAGGAACAGGGTGGAGAACGCGCCCTGCCGCCCTGGCGGGACGGGGAGCCCCAGGAGGAGGAACTCGGACATGCCACTCTGGTTGTCCCTCCTCTTGGTCTTCCTCTGTCTGCTGAGGGTGAAAGGATGGTGAAAAATGTCAGAGACTTTCATAGTGTGATTATGGCCACCACAGTAGGGTCTCTTACTTTCTCCTGCAAAAAAGAATAACACCTTGAATTTAATCATCAGTTAGTGCTGCCAAAGCCAGCAACACACCCTCAGTGCCCAGCATGATTTCTTTCAAGTGAAACCAGAGCAAATTCATTCTTCTTATTTTTTTAATCAACCAGGTTCCTGGCACTATGCTACTAATTGGAGATGCACGAATAGATGGGATACACAGGACCTCTTCCCTTAGCTCCCTGACCCTCCGGGAACACTGACAGAGGACTGACGAAAGGTAAGCATCTGCAGCCAGACTCTCTGTGCTGTGGAGTCCGGCCCCACTGTTTTCTAGATGGATGACTTGGGCAATAGAGTCTCTCCTGGCCTCATGTTGTGCAGCTGTAATGTGAAGATAGCAGTATCACACATTCGAAGAGTTAATAAGAGGACTCTAGTTCAAGACACATCAATATCTAGGAACATCCTGTATAAAATAAACACAACATTTTAGTCATTGTTTTTATGATTGGCTAACTGTACAAATAAAGCCAAGATCAAATGCAAGAATTTAATCAAATGGCATTATGAGATGGTCAGCACGAAGCTCAGTTTGCATTAACTTGTTCGAGCTCTCACCCTCTCAAGGGGAGTTTCTGAGCTCATAGCTGTCTTTGGGGTAAACCCCCTCCCTGGTGGTATGTGTCTTAGTGCCTGGTCATCTTTTTGCCAAGAAATAAACCTCACTTCAATTCTCTCATCTCCATCTGTATCTGGTGCTTTGAATGGGCTCAGAAGTGAGTTTCCATAGGCAGGAAGACTGCTGAGATCTGAGGTCTGGCATTGAGAACTGGGGACACTGAAGGATGGAAGTGTCTATTAGAATTCAGTTACCTGCTTGACCATCGCTATTTCCCAGTACTGATCTTCACATTTATAGTAATTCGCATTTAATGAACACTATGTCAAACAAATACATTTTTGCATTATTACCTCATTAAGTTTTCCATAGTCCTAGGAAGTAGGTGTTATTCAAACTTAATTATATACATACTCAGAAGGAATGAGAACTATCATGACTACAACATTAGTAACTGCTATGGTCACAATTCTCTCCTGTTTCTTAAACTTATTGGAATCTCTGCTCTGATCCTCCTGTTTCTCCCTCTCTCTAATTAGACAAAAAATCCAGAGTCTTAAGAAATGTCATTTCAGGATTTGAGGGAGTCCTTCTGCTCAGATATTGGTCGCCACTCATATTCCTGCAGCCCTTTAGTTTGCGAGTGGTTTCACGTACCTTCGTTTCAGCCAACTGTCAGTGTTCACTCCATGTCTGGGAAGCAGAAAAGACAGGGAATTTTTATTTCTTACACTTATTATCAGGAGCAGTGCAGTGGATCACAGAATTCCACATCCAGGGCCGTCAGTCCTGTGACCCGCAGGCCACGTGCGGCCCAGGGTGGCTATAAATGTGGCCCAACACAAATTGTAAATTTACTTAAAATCTTTTTTTTGCTCCTCAGTTTTGTTAGTGTTTGAGTATTTAATGTGTGGCCCAAGAAAACTATTTCTTCCAGTGGGCCCCAGCGACGCCAAAAGATTGGACACCATGGAGATACTGTGCAGTGGGACCTGGTTTCATAGATAGATTTCCTTGTCATTTTTTCATTGGGAAGAGAATACACCCATTTCTTCCCGTGGGAGGAGAAAAACATTAAATGAAAGTTACAATAGCCAAGTGTTGGAAGCAACCTAAATGCCCATCAGTAGATGACTGGATCAAAAAATTATGGTACATATACACAATGGAATACTACGCAGCAGAAAGAAAAAAAGAAGTACTAAACTTTGCGACAGCATGGATGGAACTGGAGAGCATCATGCTAAGCGAAATAAGCCAGGGGGCGAAAGACAAATACCATATGATCTCACCTATAAGCGGAACCTAACCAACAATGCAAAGAAGCAAGGAAAATATGACCAGCAACACTGAAAGGAAAAGAAATCAACAGAGACAAGAGGGAAGGGGAGGGGCAGGGAAAGGGAAGGGAAGGGGAAGTCAAGGAACATATAGCAAGGACTCATGGACAAAACCAAAGGGGAAGAGCTGAGGGAGGGAAGGTGGGAGGGGGCAAGGGAAAGAGGTGGGGGGAAGGCAGAGACAAATGTATTTAAAAAGTAAATAAATTAATTAAAAAAAAATATCTTAACTGGAAAAAAAAAAAAGTACTAGAAATGTAATGTACATGGTGACTATAGTTACCGTTGCTATAATATGTAGGAAGGCTATTAAGAGTACTCATCACAAAAGGAATTTTTTTTTTTTACTTTTTTTGTATCTATATGAGATGATGTATGATGTTAACTAAACCTATTGTGGTGATTATTTCACAATATATGTAAGTCAAACAATCATGTAGTATACCTTGAACTTATACAGTGATGTATGTCATTAATTTCTCAATAAAACAGAAAAAATGTTCAGTTAAATTATCAAGTCAATATAATCAAATAATATAATCAGATCATTATGCACAAAAACTGTTTCTTGATGCTACTATTAAAACTATGTAGAGAGATCACAGGGTGTAAAAATGGAAATTAATCATTTTTCCAATATGGTTGTTAAAAAAATAAACCAGAATGATGAAAGAGTAAAAAAAAAAAAAAAAAAAAAGAAGAAGAAGAAAAGAAAAAAACAAAAATAGTTAAAAAACAAAAGGGCAATAAATTCGTATCTATCAATAATCACTTTAAATGTAAATGGCTTAAATGCTCCAATCAAAATACATAGAGTAGCTGAAAGGATAAGAAAACAAGACCCATATGTATGCTGTTTCCAGGAGACCCACCTCAAAATGAAATACACATACAGGCTAAAAGTAAAGGGATACAGAACAATATTTTGTGGAAATGGAAAGAAAACAAACTGGGGTTGCAGTACTTATATCTGACAAAATAGACTTTAAAACCAAGGCCTTAGTAAGACATAAAGAAAGGCACTAGATAATGATAAAGGGCACAGTCCAATATGAGGATATGCACTCAGTATAGGAGCACCTAAAGCAATTCTTGATGGACATAAAGGGAAAGATTGACAGAATTACTGTCATAGTTTGGGTTTTTAACACTCCAGTGACTTCAATACATAGACTTTCCAGACAGAAAATCAACAAGGAGACAGTATCCTTAAACATCACACTAGATTAAATGGATTTAATTTATATTTCACATCATTTCACCCCAAAGCAGCAGAATATCTGAGGTCTGTCCAGAATGTATCCAGCCATGTAATATGAGAAATTTATTGAAAAAGATAAAAGATACAAGAAACATTGCATATAGGACAATGATGCCTCAGTCCCCTTCAAAGTACGCACCTTGAGACCTCACACAGTTCTCCAAGTTGCCATCAGCTGCCCCATCATATTTTCCTGATTCTCATCCATTGTCTGAAACCTGTTCCCTCTCAAAGGTGATTTTAGTTTTGGAAAAAAAACAAAAATCACAGGGCACCAAATCTGGGCTGCAGAGGTGCTGAGTCACCTGAGTGAGTTGATGTTTCTGAAAAAAACTGCATGAGATGTGATGCATGAGTGGGCACATTGTAGTGATGAAGCTGCCAACCACCAGTTGCCCATAACTGCGGCCTTCTGAATCATCCAAATAGCTTGCACAGAGTAATGTTCAAGCTTAATGTATAATTTAATGCAGAATTGTTTCTCTGCTTGCTCAGTCATTTTGAATGCGAAAGGCACACAGTACACATGCTCACTCAATGGTGTCTACTTCCCCCACTGACTAAATACAGTGAAGTCATCATTGCTCATGCATGTACATTCCAGTGCACAGGCAGGTGATACTGATGTCATACAAACTGTTCTCATTATATTAACAATGGCTCAGCTTTTTCTGGATAGACTTTGTACATACTTTTCAAGTGCACATAGAACATTTTCTAGGATAGACCACATTTTCAGATACAAAATAAGTCTCAATAAGTTTAAGAAGATTGAATTCATATCAAACATCTCTGACCACAATGCTGTGAAACTGGAAGTCAATCACAAGAAGAAAACCAAAAAATACACAAAGACATGTAACCTAAATAATATGTTATTAAAGAATGAATGGGTCAACAATGAAATCAGAGAAGAAATCAAAAGATACCTTGAAACAAATGAAAACTAAATCACATCAATTTCAAATCTGTGGGAAATAGGGAAAGCAACTCTAAGAGGGAAATTCATAGCATTACAGGCCTGTCTCAAGACAAGAAAAAGCTCAAATAAACAATCTAACTTTACACTTAAAGGAACTTGAGAAAGAACAACAAACAATGACCAAAGTGAGTAGGAGGAAGGAAATAATAAAATATAAGAGCAGAAATAAATGAAATAAGAGTCTAAAATATGATATAAAAGGTCAACTAATCCAAACACTGGTTCTTAAAAAGATAAACAAGATTGACAGACCTTTAACCAGACACATCAAGAAAGAAAAAAAGAGTACCCAAATAAAGTCAGAAATCAAAATGGAGAAATAACAACCGACACCAAAAAATACAACAGATTGTATGAAAATATCATGAACAACTATATACCAATAAATTGGACAACCTGTATGAAATGGATAAATTTCTAGAAACATACAATTTTCCAAAACTAAATCTGGAAGAATAAAAGAATCTGAATAGACAGATTACACCTAATGAAATTCAAGCAGTAATCAAAACACTCCCAACAAACAAAAGTCCTGCACTGGATAGTCTTGCAGGTAACTTTCACCAAAAATTCTAAGAACTGATAGCTCTCCTTCTCAAACTAATCCAAAAAATTAAAGAGGAGGATCCAAACTCATTTTATGAGGCCCACACTACAAAAAAGAAAATTATAAGTCAATATCCCTCATAAATATTAATGCTAAAATCCTTCACAAAATATTAGCAAACTGAATACAGCAATACCTCAAAAAGACCATACACCATGATCAAGTTGGATTTATTCTGG